GTTTATAAGTTTGCTAGGGACATTTTGGATCTTGAATGAATATTTATTGTACTTACACTATCTTGTGTCTATCCCTAGGATTCCACATCTCACAAATTAATTACAACAAACACTTGTAGGTCCAAGCTTTCAGTATTTAACATCAAATGCGAGAGTTTGAAATCGCTCTTTGCTTCTTTTGAAACATCGGATGTCAAATAGCCATTGAAAAAGCTTAAATAGCCAATTATCTCGGTGGCCATGTCCCCATCTTTCATCCAGCTTCATTCCTTCGTCCCCACATCTAGCTTCCGATGCTTCTCCTCTCAAACTGGAAAGATTGAAGCAGAGGATGAGCACAATAGTTGCGAGAATGAAGCAAAGGATGATGCAACTCCGAACATTTGCATCATCTGGGGTGGAAACTCATGAGCATCTCTTCTTTGAGTGTTCTTTCTCTACCGGTCTTTGGGGTTATATGGCTGCAAAGTTCTTCATCAACCCACCAAGTAGCTTCCCTGCAGCTGCCTCATGGATTCTCCTCTTCAATCTGCCGCACCAATCAAAAGCATCCACCGTCCTCAAGCTTCTCTTTCAATCAGTGATTTATCACATTTGGCGAGAGAGGAACTCGAGGATTTTCACTGCTGTTGAATCTCCCGTCGCAACACTTCGCCTCACCATCGACTGCGCCATGAGATCTGGCCTCCTGTCTTTCCCGGGTTCTTCCGTGCAGCCGTTGTCACTTCTTCAAGTTTATTTTCGTAGTCTTTCCTTTCCTCTGTAATTATGGTCTAGTCTTTTTTTGTCTTATGTTCCTCTGATAAAGGGTAAGCTTTCGTATGCGTTAGGTTAGCTTGTATTTGTTCTCTTGGAACGAAATCTTCACATTAAAACCAAAAAAAAAAACTCCAAACATTTGTACGTTTTGCTCTGTTTTTGCTTTTGGAAAAACAGAGCAAAATTCCAAAAAGTCCTTGGTAAAATTGCCGAATCTTTAGAGAATCAAGGCTTAAGCATAAACAAATTCATGTCAACTCATCCATAGGAATTGGTGGGCAACATTTTATATTTTTAACTATTTATCTATACTGAGACACAATATGGATTATTTTTTATCAATATCGCACCTGAGTTAGCCGACCGTAAATATATTAATACTCATACAATTTGACCTCTAACTAATACTCCCTCCGTATTTTAATAATTGTCGTTTTAGAATTTTTATTTTTTTGAATTAGATGTCGTTTTCAAATTTCAATGCAAAATTTCTTACTTTTTAATGTTTTATGAATGTCATAAAACATTAAAAAGTAATAAATTTTGCATAGAAATTTGAAAACGACATCCAATTCAAAAAAATAAAATTTCTAAAACGACAATTATTAAAATACGGAGGGAGTATTATATAACTAGTGTAACTAAATTACAGTTTCTCTCTTTCAGAATATTTGCCTGATCCGGTTTAACAACAACAAGTGCTCGACTTCGTAGCTTGAAGGAATGAAAAGGCAAAGAGACTTCTTCTCGTTCTAGTCAACAGTTAATGGAGGCCCATTTACTCCTATGCCATATATACACAGCTGTGATATTAATCATTGTTTAGTTTCACTGTTTTTGTTTAATTCTTTCTATATAGATTCCGAAAAAATTCATTAACGTAAAATATTTATTCGTCTTCAATTTCTCTTTCTCTCATGGCTTCTCTTTCTCTGATGGCTTCTCCTTCTTCTTCATTTTCATCCCGCAACTGGAGCTACAACGTCTTTGCGAGCTTCCACGGCCCTGACGTCCGTAAAACTTTTCTCAGTAACATGCGAGAACAGTTTAAACGAAATGGGATCACTATGTTCGATGATCAAGAGATTGAGAAAAGCGCAACAATTGCTCCTTCACTCACAGAAGCTATAAGAAAGTCGAGGATCTTGATCGTGATTCTCTCTAAGAAATATGCTTCGTCAAGCTGGTGTTTGGATGAATTAGTGGAGATATTGGAGTGCAAAAAGGCTATGGGACAGATAGTGATGACCATATTCCATGGAGTGGAGCCATCCGATGTACGGAAACAAACCGGAAAATTTGGGATCGCTTTTGATGAAACTTGTGCACGTAAGACGGACGAGGCTAGGCAGAAATGGAGCAAAGCTTTGTTTGATGTGAGCAACATTGCTGGCGAAGACTTCCAAAAATGGTTGGTCTTAGCTAATAAGAGTTTTCATTTCTCAGGTTCTATTAAGTAGTAATCACCAGAGAACAAATAAACAGTTAGTGGTGTTTTATTTTTGATAAAGTGAGTTTTTTTTGTTTAATGAATAGTATAAATACATTTCATAAATTATTGGGAATAGATAAGGAATGTAATTTCTATGACTATTTGATGGAAACCGGGAATTTCTTTATTTTCTCTCTCTGTTTAGCGACAATGAAGCAAGCATGATCAAGAAAATTGCCAGAGATGTTTCAGATAAACTGAATGCTACACCGGCAAGGGAGTTTGATGGCATGGTGGGACTTGAAGCTCATTTGAGAGAAATGGAGTCTTTGCTAGATTTAGATAATGACGGAGTTAAGATGGTTGCAATCACTGGTCCTGCAGGGATTGGTAAGACTACCATTGCCATAGCTTTACAAAGTCGACTCTCTAATAGGTTTCAGCTTACTTGTTTTATGGACAACCTGAGGGGAAGCTATCTCAGTGGTCTAGATGAGTTGCATTTACAAGAACAATTTCTTTCAAAGGTTTTGAACCAGGATGGTATTAGGATAAGCCATTCTGGTGTGATAGAAGATAGATTATGCAAGCAGAGAGTGCTCATCATTCTTGATGATGTGAACCATATAAAGCAATTAGAGGCGTTGGCGAATGAAGCTACATGGTTTGGTTCTGGAAGTAGGATTATAGTTACCACAGAAAACAAAGAGCTTTTGCAGCAGCATGCTATCAACAATACGTACAATGTTGGGTTTCCATCTTTTGATGAAGCTGTCACGATCTTATGTAGAAAGGCTTTTAGACATAGCTCTTCATGTCATGGTTTTGAAGAGCATGCGGGAAGAGTAACAGGCCTTTGTGGTAATCTTCCATTGGGTCTCTGTGTGGTGGGTTCATATTTACGTGGAAAGAACAAGGAGGAGTGGGAACAAGTAATACACAGGCTAGAAACTATTCTTGATGGAGGTATCGAGGAAGTACTAAGAGTCGGTTATGAGAATTTAGATGATAATGAGCAATCTCTATTTCTCCACATTGCAGTCTTCTTCAACTATAAATATGGTGAGCTTGTGGAAACCATGTTTGCTGAGAGTGACTTGGATGTCAAATACGGATTGAAAATCCTTGAAAACAGATCTCTCATAGAGATAGACAGATCTACATATGGGGAAAAGATAGTGATGCACAGATTACTAGAACAAGTGGGTATAAAAACCGTTCAAAAACAAGAGCCTTGGAAACGCCAAATCTTAATAGATGCTTCGGCGATTCGTGATGTTCTTGAACATGCCGAAGTAAGTTCTTTCTCAATTGTATTTCTTATCTTTTTTTTTCAAATATTTCTTGTGTTCCTTGTTCATAATTTATACTTTAAATTAGGCATTTGGTGTAGATAAACGAATACAATCTATCGTGCTAACAATTTCTTTTATTTGGAATTTGGTTTAGGGTACCTGTAATGTTCTTGGTATATCTTTTGATATATCAAGAATCACAGAAGTATTTGTAAGCAAGAAAGCTTTTAAAAGAATGTCTAATCTTCGATTCCTCAAAGTCTACAAAGGTAAATATGATGGAAATGATAGAATGCATATACCTAAGGAGATGGAGTTTCCGCGTCGTCTAAGGTTACTAGATTGGGAGGCATACCCAAGCAAAAGTCTTCCTCCAACATTTCATACTGAATATATTGTCGAACTACATTTTGAGGATAGCAAGCTCGAGAAGCTTTGGGAAGATGCTCAGGTTGGTGTTGCACTTTAAATATATGAAAATGTATTTTCTCTTCATGTAATATGATGTTCTGCTCTCTGTTTTGGTTGTTACGTTCAGGGGCTTACAAATCTCAAGAAACTTAATTTGACAGCATCCCGGAATTTGAAGATACTCCCAGATCTTTCAAATGCTACAAATCTGGAGGTATTGAATCTTATGTGCTGCGAGAGTTTAGTAAAGATTCCATCCTCTTGTTCGAATCTTCATAAACTACAGTGGTTGATGTTGAATAGCTGCATAAACCTAGAATCCTTTCCAGCTAACATGAACTTGGCATCCCTTGATCAAGTCTTCATGGGAAGATGCTTGAGGTTGAGACATATTCCACTTTTGTCAACGAACATTACCTTACTGTATATAGGAGAGACAGCGGTTCAAGATGTGCCTCCCTCAATTAGTCTTTGCTCTCGTCTTACATCTCTCTATATAAGCTATAATGAAAAGTTCAAAAGATTAACACATCTCCCCACGAGTGTGATAACACTAGACCTAAGCAATGCTGATATTGAAAGGCTTCCAGATTGCATTAAAGATCTTCATCAGTTAGAAAGCCTTAGTCTATGCGGCTGCAAAAGCCTCGCATCATTACCAGAGCTCCCTCGTTCACTCAAATCCATAGAGGCAGAAGATTGTGAATCACTGAAGACCGTGTTTCACCCTTTGAACACTTCAAATGCGAAACTCAGATTCACCAACTGCTTCAAATTGAGCCAACAAGCAAGAAGAGCAATTATCCAACCTTCGCTTCGTAGCGGGTCTGCTCTCTTACCTGGAAAAGAAGTGCCTCCAGAGTTCGATCACCGAGGCAGAGGAAATTCCTTGACCATTCCTCCAGACGTTTGCAGCAGCTTTTTGGTTTGTGTTGTGGTTTCCATTAACGATCAAACCACAGAAGAATATGATGATTCCGAATCATGGTGTAATCCTCCGATAGGCAGATGGGACTACGACCACGTCTCAGTAGATGCTTTTGATGCCAGCAGATGTCGAAAGGAGCATGTATTTATATTTCACTCTCCCTCCCCATTTAGCGAACCCTCTGACGTGAGTAGAGAGATGGTGTTCGAATTCAGCAGAAAACTCCACGGATTCGAGATTATTGAATGTGGCGCCAAGATCTTGACCGAAGAGGAGAGCATGGAAGGTAGCTATGAACCCAGCGAAGAAGTCATTGTAGATGAAACTAATATTGATGATCTTTCATCCAAAGAAGTCGAGAAACGCACAGATTGTTGGAGTTGGCTCTTCCTCTGCTTCGGTCTCTCGGTTTCGGGAAAGGAGACGATAGAATCCGGTAGCTGATGACGTGGCCTTTCTCCATTTTATCATGTCAGCTTGAAGCTCAAAACACATGGGCTTATTATGGTAGGTAGGTTCTTCCTCTGTCCAATTTAATTCTTTCGTTGCACTAACTCGAACATAAATAATAGTATATTACTCTATGTTTCCTCTGTTATTTCAGACAAGGATCGCCGCGAGATCTCCACGTACCACTTCAAAGGTGCAACTCTTTTTATTCGTTACTTCGATCTGTATATCAGTATATATGTATTTAGATATTCTGAATCACTTGGTACTTAGCCCATTGTTTTAACATTAGCTTTTTCCGTGTCTGAATCTCGAAATGCCTTTCTTACTTCGAACATAGTTAGCAAGAACAATGTGATTCACTATGATTACTTAGAAATGTTAATTTTTCTTGTTGCTTTCTTTTTGCTTAGAGGGAGTTTTGTATGCTAATTTGCCACAACATCCCTTGATCGAGAGTGTTCCGAATCTTGCAGGTGATTAAGCTTATGCAAAGCTTTAAGTCAAAGAAGTATGTGAGAGAGACTTTTGCTTGGATGCATTACTACTGGTTCCTTTTATCAATGAAGGCATTGACTTACCTCAATCTCCCGTCTGAGATTGTTCCAGCCATTTTAAATAAGCAGCAGAAGCCTCTTGGCCAACCAATGGGAGGCACACCCTGCTGCCGCCCCGCGGTAATTAATCTTTGATGTCATTATTAGTGTACCTTCTTTTCTTTTATTATCCACCATGAGGGGAGTACATTTCTGTTACCGTATTGATAAAGGGTTATGTTAGGAAAAGCTATTATGTGTTCATTTGGGTCTGTGAAAGCTGTATGGTTAACATGTTAGGGTTTTTTGTGGCTTTTATTTTTGTTCTGCAGTGGACCGCCTCGTTTTTAGAGAGGGAGAGGAGGTTGGTGACAGAGATGGTTACCAAGGAGGTCCTAGATCAGGTGGAGATGTGGTGACAAGAGTGGAGCTCCTGCTGATTACCAGCCTGCTTTCAGGGTATAGTCAGCGTTCTTTGGTACTTGTTCTGTGTTTCGTGTCATCTAGAAAGGAACTCCTTAATGGTTTAGTTACAATCTATTGAATCTGCTGTGATATATAGCTTAGATTGTCTTCAATTTATGAAAGTGTATTGAACATCCAGTTTTCTTAAGTTATGTGGTTGTAACTTCCTAATAATTCTAATCATATATCTGTCAATTAGTCTATGAACATCCAATCTTTGGCCGTTCCTGTTGGTTATGGTCTCAAGTTGATAGCTCTGTTTGAGAACTTAATGAGTCTTGAAACCTCGATTGCTTAATGTAGCATTTTCCTACTCATTTGATTGTTTAGAAGTTTGGTAGGGACGTTTTGGATCTTGAATGAAATGTTACTGTCGTACACTATCCTGTGTTTATCCCTAGGATTCCACATCTCACAACAAGCACTTTGTATGTGAACGAAAAAATAAATACGTAAACTTAAAAACTTGAATGAAAATAAAAACCAGTTTATAACTTTTATGGGGAGTCAATTTTTTTTTAACAAAAGAAAAAGAATAAAGAAAAAAATCACTTTAATCTAATATAGTGATCGAATTCAGGAGAGGGATCAGATGATAAAAGAAGGAGAGTGCTCAATTGTCGTAACAGGCTGAGCGAAACACTCTTCTCGCATTAAGCGAGTTATTTAACCACTCCTCATTTCCCCTTTAACTTGCCTGAAGGATCATGTTTTTTCACTAATCCACCTCTAATCCCTTTTATAGCCAACTAATCATATCCCTCTCTTCTCTACTAACCGATGTGGGACAACTTACAATTTCAAATTTCTCTTCCCTCAGTTTTTTAAAAACCCTAATTAACTCTTCGCGGAGAACATTTTCAACTCTTGAATATGACGACGACGATTTCTCAGCATGATTTCTATGGTGATGGAGATTCGGAAACTTCAATTTCTATATCTGTTATTGAGGTATTAAGGTCTGACTCATGAACAATGGCGATTTATAATCGAGCTTCTTCTTTCGCGTTTATTTTTTCATCGTTTGTTTGTGAACTTTTGTGTGTGTAGAATTTGAAGGAAGAGTATGGATTGTTTGTTTGGCCTTGTAGCGTTATCCTCGCTGAGTATGTTTGGCAACAGAGATCTCGATTTCGCCATTCTTCGGTTCTTGAGGTTACTTTCTTAGCAACCACTCTTTGCTAAAAACCCTTGATTTTGAATTGATTACAGAATTGGGATATGTGTTTGAGCTAATGAATCTTCAAAATGTTAGACCTTTTTAACATTTCTTAGACTTGTGTTGATGAAATTTGCAGCTAGGGGCTGGTACTTCCTTGCCTGGTTTAGTAGCTGCAAAGGTTGGGGCTAATGTCACACTTACTGATGATGCAAGTAAACCAGAGGTGTGAAAATTTAAGTTCTTGTGTTGAAAAGATTTTTGTTATTTTGGTTTAGAGAATATGAGTTTATTTGTTATTTTGTATCACACATATATGCAGGTTCTGGACAATATGAGAAGAGTCTGTGAACTTAACAAGCTAAACTGTAATGTAATGTATACTCTTCTTCACTTTGTTCTTCAATTTAATACTGGCTGAATTTATCATATTACCCGATCGAATCATTATATGTTGCATATGTAATTCCCCCTGTAGATATATGCTTGGGATTGGATTGCTATTTACATTTGAAATTCTGTAGAGTTTGCTTCTATAACTTCTTTGTGGTTGTTTATTGCAGGTGATGGGTTTCACCTGGGGAGTGTGGGATGCACCAATATTTGACCTGCGACCTAACATTATACTTGGGGCTGATGTTTTATATGATTCAAGTGGTTAGTTTCATCTGTTTTCCTTTTGGTATTGGCCTTTTCTTTTTCCCTTGTGAATGAGTTGGAATCTAAACTTGGACCTCTATTTTGTTAAGCATTTGATGATCTCTTTGCGACTGTCTCATTTCTTCTCCAAAGTTCTCCTGATGCAGTTTTTATTACCACATATCATAACAGGAGGTACACAATTCTTATTCTTTCATTCTTCCCACTCGTCTATTATATTATATATATCCGCAACAGATTTAGGGTGACGATTTTTTCCGGATTTCATTTGGTCAGTTTTGATTTTGCAGTGGGCATCATCTAATCGAGTTCCTGATGGTAAAATGGGGACTAAAGTGCGTTAAACTTCTAGATGGCTTCTCATTCTTGCCCTCCCACAAGGCTTCTGTACTTAGTGGAAACATTCAGTTGGTTGAGATCGTATTGAGTTCCAATAATCAGCAGCTTTAGACTGTAACAACCATCTAAGTGGATAATACCACGGATCAAAGAGGTATAACATTTACTTCATTGTAAGATAATCCATAGTTACTCACTATAGAAAGTGATAAGCAGAAGCCCTGGACAGGGGAGCTTAGTTTAATCAAACTCATATCCTTAGTAATTCTTTGCATAAATTCAAATATACTTCCCAAATAGATCAACTAAGGGCTTGGCACATTCAAATCTTTCTTAACCCTTTGATTTTGTTTTAGATACCACTGTTCTTGATGTATAAAACTGAGCAAAGTGTTGTCGGACGAAGACATTAGCGTCGAGAGAAGATCTGATACCTTGGTGTGTAAGCAAGAACTGAGCCTTGCGTACCTTGAGACTGCGCATCAATGAACAATACAGAGTCGAAATGTGGCATCAATGGCTAGAAGAACAATGTCGTTTTGGGTTACAACTATTGATGTTGAAGATAAACAACAAGCCAACAATGGCATCGTTTAGTTAAAATATAGAATCACATTCATAGTTCAAATGTCTAATCCTTTCCATGCAAAACAAGAAAGTGTAATTGTTATATTTTAGAATCTTTTTCTTTATTATTCATAATCTGGTTTGCACGACGATTTGCATAGAACCGAAGACTAGAACACACAATTTTACATCGTGAGTGTAGAGATTCCCCAAAATCCAATGTTCTCAAACAACCTTCATCTCCGATGATGTATGCTACGTTTAAGCCTTCCCTAATATATTGTGTGCTAAACTGACCAAGATTAGAATCAGAATCAAAACCGTACCACAAGTAGAGAGCATAGAGACGTGTTTAACTAGAAAGTTCCTTCTTCTCAGACACATTGGAGATTCAGTAAAATTAAGACAGATGTACAAAAACGAGCTCCGACTCATCAAAATGAAAACTACTTCCAAACGATCAAGTTCATGCAAAACTTGTATCAAACTAATTCTAACAGCGGTCGAGGTATTAAAATCCGATAAATCTTACACACCTCCATTCATCATTGCCTTCTCTTTTGGATTAAGATTCATATTCTTCTCATTGTGTGATCCTCAAGAAACAGCGCAAAGGTGGCTGGGGAATAAACACAAGGTTAAACAGACCTGAGAGATCTCTTAGGAGTTATCAGTGGCTGAAGCTGTGACTCTTAGCCGAGCAGGCTCTTGACTCTGTTCTTTCCGTCTCCAAAACGCCCGTCTCCACCAAACTTCGAACCCTCTCTGGATATTAGGACAGTCTTCATTAGAGTTCAAGAACCGATCAAACCAAGCTAGGAAAAACTCTTGTTGCCAAGCAAGAGGAAGAGTCAGAATGGTATTGCTTAAACCGTCCTCGATTAAATACCGATCAAGCCCTTTTGAAGCTCTCCTCATCCACCCAAAATCATCATAGAAAGGTGTCAACCAATTCCTCAGTAGCAAACACCTCACTTCTTTCGGTGTGAGAATTTGTCCCTTTCCAATTCCAACAAAGATTCTTGCTGTTACTCTACTAATTTCAAACCTGTGAACAACAGGGACCTTAGAATGCACCTCGGATAGCTCAGAGAGAGAAGCCCACATCACAATAAAATCCTCTGCGATTTGTCTATCTATCAAAATATCCAAAATCCAATGCAGATTATCTGCTTGTCTTGCTATCTGATCTACATTCTCCAAATCCGACTCTGCTGCTTGCAGAAAATGCCGCTTAAGCTTATGCAAACACCCATCACAAGCCAAGTACAACGACTCTTTCCTAAGATCATTTCCAGACGAGTTCTCTCTAAGCATTTTGGAAACAAGGGTTTTCATGTCACGCCTCGCTTTCTCATCTTTTCCCTCAAGAACAATATGCAAAAGATTCAAAAGCACCTCATCGTTGCTCCCACCGTTACTCCCATTACTAGCTTCCACAGAAACCCTTCTCAAAACCTCCGTCGCCCCAACGTTTTCAAGGTGTAGCTCAGACAACAAAGAAGCAATCCTGTATTCTTCATCTTCTGACCATGGTGCTGCTTCCAAGTACTCCAGACATGAAAGTACTCCAGCATCAAACCCAATTGCTGCTGAAACCTGAGAGAACAATAATGGCAAATTGAAATTGACAATGTGATTGCAAAAACACCAATTGATTCCTTAATTTGTACACAAAAAGTTAAAAAATGGAGACTTTTGAGTATTTCTCACAATACCTTCAAAATACCAAGAACCCTAGAAACATCTTGTCTCATCATCTTCTTCCTTAGATCTCTACAATACATCAGCATCAACGTCTCAATATACACCTCAACGTCATCACAATCTGAGATCTCAACAATGTATGGAGAAGATGACGGCGGCAACTGCTGCTTAGACCACCGATCCGATAATTTCATAGCGAAAAACCTACTGTGAGCTACAAGAATCTGCCTATGCACACACATAGTGATACTAATCCCATCCTTAGAGCTCAGAGTCAACTTCACATCACTCGAATTCGGATCGTTGAACTGATTCCCGGGGCTCCGAATCACTAGAAGATCCGAAATCCGTTGCATCGCAAGCGCTTGCTTATCCTGAGCTGAAATGACGAGATGAGTCACATTCGTCGTTCTCGCAGCCGTAGCCGCCGCCGAGGAAGACGATGAAGACGACGACGGAGATGGAAGCACGCCGTTATGGATCTGAACCGGAACTTTCCCAATGGTATCAGCTTCACTAGCCATCATTTCGAACAGCGTCGGACTTGATCGTGTCTTGTCGAGCATCGCCGGAGGCGGCGGAGGAGACATCGGGTTTAAAAGACCCGCCGTTAAAGCGGAGTTGAACTTAGTGAAACTCGAAGGGAATGAAGAGTCACGCGGCGAACTGTAACCGTTCCCCGCCGTCGTCGTAGCCGTAGAGTAATCCATGACCGGTGGAGATCCTTCCGGATCCGAAAACAAACTCGGAGTCGGGTCGGGTTGAAAATTCGGGTGTAGACGAGAGTGAGAGTGGTGATATCACTTCAGAAGAAGCATAACCGTTGAGGAGAAGACGGAAACAGGGTCGGGTATTCGGGTCAAAAACCGGACCCGAGAACCCGAGTTGTTGTGAGTCTCGTGATTGTAATTGATGCCGTGAGGCATCGACAGTGCCAGGAGTGATAAATGCACACAACGTTTAGAATTTAGTGCAGATTTTTATTTTATTTATATAAAAATGTGTATATATAATACTTTTCGTGATTTTTATTTATTTTGCAGCTACTTTTGTGATTTTTATCGTTATCGCTGTGGATATTATAGAGCTTTGGTACTAACAAAGATGCTCGTTGTTTCTCGAATTAATCATTATCCCATTAATATCTGAATATTTAATTAGGTGTGAGCAGTTCCATAGAGCTTTTACTTTTGGTTCTATTGATTTTATAAAAAGTTAAATACAAATAAAATTTGGTTTTAGTTGGGTTAAAAATTAAAATTTAGTTTGTTATTACAAATAAAAGTTACTCCCTCCGTATTTTAATAATTGTCGTTTTAGAAATTTTATTTTTTTGAATTGGATGTCGTTTTCAAATTTCTATGCAAAATTTATTACTTTTTAATGTTTTATGACATTCATAAAACATTAAAAAGTAAACTGTTTATCTTGTCAAGAAGCGAGTACAAATTTCAACGGATTTTGTTTGTAGTGTGGGCCAAAGCCCAAAATGAATCATCATGAGCCACGCACGACATTGTGCTGACGACTTTTATTTTGGTGCTTGTATATACTGTGTGGTGTGGAGACAATCATTCTTTCACCATCATGAATTCTTTTTGTTTTATTTAAATGTTGTTTTGGGTTTGATAATGATTGGTTATAATTTGACTTTAAAAGTTCTTGATCACTAACTATCAATCAACGAATAAATCAAAGAAAGGGATGTAATATATAGAGGGACAGCTGCTGATAACAAAACAAGTGTTTTTTTTTTTGTGATAAAAAACTCATTAAGGATTTAAATTCTTATGTTTTTCTCTGAAAAATGTATTTAGATATGTGGTTCTGTTAGAGTTTTTTACTAGTGACCTATGTTAATCTTGTAGTAATTGAGCGCAACTTTCAGAAGTTTGCAACTATCTGCAGAAAAGACAAACAATTTGAATTGATATCAAGTTTTGTTAGTAACTTGATATCTTTGAATTTGTAACTTTGAACCTTGGGGTCATTGGGCCGAGTGTAATGAAGCTTTGGCCCATAGGCCATATCTTATGGTCCAATTTTATTCATGTAACCAGAGGTGGTTCTTCTAACGTATGGCCGTATAAAGTGAATTTTTTTACATGTTTTTTATGTCAGCAAGTGATTTTAAATATCAAAAAGTTAAAATTTGATTTTGAAGAAAGAAGAATAATAACGTGAAAAAAAAAGAGAGACAAGAAATGAAGCTTTTTATTTTTCTAAAGGACACAGGTGAAATTAACAACCAACATTACAGATTAAAAAAATTATTTGGTCAGGTCATTATTTAAAAAAATTACATGTTTGGTGGGCGATAAGAATATGGTTTAATGGAAAAGTAATTTGTCACTTTGCGTAGACAGAGTTAAGATAATCGATTCCACTAAAACCTATATCAACCATACATCGATTCCACTAATATACTATAGTAATAGTTAGCTTGACAACAACATATCTTATAAATATTAATGAATGACACAAAAGTCTTACTCATTGTTTTTTTTTTTTAATAATTTCCAAACTCTTCGGTTATTATTTCTTTACTAAGTATAGTTTCAGCTAAATAAATTTATGTCTTGTTATTAAACATAAAATGAAACAACAAATCTGTTTCTGGATGCCAAAAGAGAAAAAGTTATAACAAAAAGAATTTAGTTAAAAATAGGAATATCTAAATATATATTAGGAGTTTAGGAGCAATTGAAAAAGTGTAGAAAGAAAGAATGAGGTGAATGGAAGGCACGTTCATTTGCCTGCTAGAAGAGAAGGAGGAGGGAGACAATAGATTCGCTGCTTCAGTTCTTGTATTAGCTGTCTTTGTACTATTTCATATATTAGCTCTCTTTTTCTTTCTTTCTTTTTAGATCTTTTACTGTCTGTTCTTATCTTACTTCTTAAATATACATTAAAATTCGGACTCGAAAATTAGAAATATAATTGGTGACTGTGTTTGAACTTTGAACACATCTACAACAAACGTATTATTTGATCATTTGTTTAATAGTTTGTGTCTTTGTGACTTGTGTTGTTTGCGACAGATCAGTGGAAACAAACACTTGTTATTAGATAATACATAGATAAATTAGCATTCCATCTATTTTTAAACGTTTCCATTTTTTTTTATATAAAACAATTTTTTATAAGCTATTACAAAACTGATTGGTTATAACATATACTATACTTCTTGCATTTTTTTCTAATTCGTTTTTCACTGTTGAAAACTTTCAGTTACTAATATTTATCGTGTTGAGTGTTGCCCGCGCCAAACATCTATCGTGTATCGACACAGGCAAAGTGTACGGTCTGACATATACGGATAATAAAATATTTTGTATAAATTGTTAGAATTAGAAAGAGACGATCCATTAATAAAAGTAATTTTATACTAACTTTATTCCTATGGAAAAGGAAAAAGAAAAGGCCTCGTGGTCCAAGTCAGTCTTCATGACCAATCATTATTTAACATAGTCTGATTTGTTCAAATATTTAATATAAAATATAAAGCCCAGTATTATTTAAAATTACTAGTAGCTTAAAACTTGGGGGTTTTCAGAATTAGTTTGAACACCCAAAAAAAAAAGAATATGATTTAAAAAAACTCTAATGAATTTTTAAAAAGTTTGGTTCTAATGTGAAATTGGTTGTATTGAATAAAGTTGATAGAGAAAGACACAGTATATACTAATTATGGTTTAGCTGGTTGTTTAGAATAATGGGAGTGATTAGTTGGTCGCTTACTGACAAAACGACAGTGTCTGACATGCAAAACTGGAATAAATTTTGTAGTTTTCCGTTGAATTAGCAGACAATTTTTAACTTAAAGATGTTTAACTCTACTTTTTTAACTTAAAGCAAAATTCTTGTTATATTTTTTTTATTGTATCTCTTTCTTATAATAGTTTTAAATCCTGCAACGAATAACTAAAGCACAACATGTTGCCACTACAGTAATCCGTACATAACCAAAACAATTATACAATTTTTAATAAGATAAATTAGGTATCTTCGATACAAATTTACATTGAAATTATAAATATGCTTTCATTTTCCAAAAAAAAAAAAAAAACTAACGATAATTATACTGAGTAAGAACTACAAAAATAATTTAACCCTTGAAAATAAGTGGAAATAAAAGTTTAAAAATTAAAACAGAGAAAACTTTAACTTAATATGAAAAAATCTATAAACACTTAAATTACCGTTATATATGATGCGTAACTACATCTTCGGTAGTCCTTACTCAGTATAATTTCCACCGTAAAACCCATATAAAATATTTTTTTGAGCATTGCTCTAAACTCTAAAGTAATACATTTACCAAATGATATGAAAATTGAACAGTTTCTCTCTAATTATTTTCTCAATATTCTTCATCTGATTTTGTAGTTATATTAATTGTCCAGACTCCAGACAAAAGGGATTAATCATGGCTGGATTTAGCTGGCCTATCTGTTAGTAATATATATCTACTCTCTAGTAACGCCAAAAACTGACAGTTAGTGATAGTATTAGACTAATTAGTTATTCCCTAACCCCTGTTTCCAATTATATTACTCACATATATACATGACTCTGTGATAAACTTGATCTAATTAAACGTAGGTGATAGACAAATAGCCTAATGATTTTTGTTCTCTTCCATCTTTTACCAATTACCGTGTGGTAGATTCAAGTTCTCCAATTTACATTTTAAATGTTGACAAAACAAAAATATATTGGACTAAACATACAAAATCCAATTAATTGGGTAAATTTATCCAATGTAATGTTGTTTAATTCACATAAATGCATTAAAAATTTGACATATTTATACTAAGTTACTAACTATATACATATATATATATATATATATATATGTATATATTAATGTTTATAGTTGTAGTTGCAACAAAGAAAAAGCGTTAAATGTAGGAATTTGAAATGTTGGAGGAGAAGATGGAGAGTGTGTGAGGTGGGTCAGTACTGTTTTGGCTCTTTCATACATTTCAGTCAGATTCCCATATGACATGAGACTTTCTCTCTTTCTCTAGAAATAGATCCCCTAATATTGTATTCTAGAAGTATATCTGAAAAACGGAATCAAAAGCCAAATTGAAGAGCTATGTGTACTTTTCTACGTAATTAATTTAGTTCTCAAAATGCTAGTAATCAATAGCAAATGGCGAATATGTAGATTGATGATAGTTCAACTAGTCATGTGATGGATGATTTGAATATACAAACATAATATGTGAATTCAAATCCTATCAAACATCAATAAAACCGATATAAATAATTACAATCTCATAGAATACGGTGTAATCTTGAGACTATATATATGATTTACCAGGTGAAAATAAAATCAAGTAGACCAAAATATTTTTGCTCTTACAAAAATATTTTATAATAGTTCAATAGAGGTACAGACAAATTGAAAAGAAATGAACCTAACAATCTGTCTTCACCTCGATTATTTGTCGTGTGTCTGACTATTTTAATTCTAATAATTTATGAATCTGACTAGTTTGGCTTGTAGGCAAAGATCAATTCTTAAAGTGGAGTGACACTTTCGAAACACCCTAACGGTTTAACCTTACCTAGGTATGAATTCTCATTTGTAATATGTTGATTATGTGTATTCAATGAAAAGAAACTTTTATTCGTTATCTAGATGTCAATATTACCACACCATAAATCGAGAATTGTAAGAAAGTTAAAATAAAACATAATTTTAGTGTTCAAATCAAATTTAAAATGGAAATTTGA